TAAAGAAAAATTAACAAGTAAGTATTTTATTCTTTATTCATAATTTAATGAAATTTATTGTTTCTAAGTATATTTACTAGCAAGTATGATTATTTGAAATTGTAGGTGTTTAAAGTCAAGACACAAAGAGACAAAGCACCAACCAAACACTCAGATACAATTATGTGATATTATATAATGTGTTATAGGTTGTTTCATGTCATTTTTCTTTTGATGTAATATATATATATATATATATATATATATATATATATATATATATATATATATATATATATATATATATATATATATATATATATATATATATATATATATATATATATATATATATATATATATATATATATATATATATATATATATATATATATATATATATATATATATATATATATATATATATATATATATATATATATATATATATATATATATATATATATATATATATATATATATATATATATATATATATATATATATATATATATATATATATATATATATATATATATATATATATATATATATATATATATATATCGCACACATACACGCGCGCACACACACACACACATACACATATCTCTCTCTTTATATATATGTGTGTGTGTGTGTGTGTGTGTGTGTGTGTGTGTGTGTGTGTGTATGTGTGTGTGTGTGTGTGTGTAATATTTAGTTCTTAATCCAATATATGGATTTGATGTAATACAATACAGCTATTGTCATGATACAATTGTTGGTTTTATTCTGATATGGTTCACAAAAATACAGGTTAAAATGGAAAATTTTCAAAAAGTAGAAATATTTTTTTAAAAAACAGATAATTTAACGACAGTTGTTAAATATGATCATGGTTGTAGAGTGAACATTGTCAAAAATAATATATATACCAAAAAGGCGCTGCTGAGAATCGAACCTGAGACCTTTAATATATTACAACGGTTAGTTAAAGCAATTGTGATAATATGTCGCGCGCTTTCAGGTTTTCTACAACGGTAATGCGACAGTGATTATAAGTAACATATATACAACCACACACTACTTCATAATGGTGGGTCACGCTCGATGGTATTCTTTTTCCAACCGTTGTTGTATATGTTTTATATAGTAGTGACTGTTTGAAATCGGGTAGATCATAGCTACTTAAAGTAACTTTAAGACTTCTTTTCTTACTACTTCTTTCATGATAAGATTCAATCTTCTTTTTAGTTGAACTACAGACTTGAATTCCTTTTCCAATTTGATCTTGTGCATACACTAAGTTGGACTAATACCTTTCATATCAGATACAATCAAACATAGTGCCTTATTGTTATTTCTTAAAACTTGTAACAACTTTTCTTCTTCTAGAGTTAACAGAGATCTACTGATGATGGATGTTTGCAATGGTTTCTAACCCAAAAAGACATACTTCAAATGTTTCGACAACTCTTTCAACTTCAGGTCTTGTGGCACTGTTGGTTGACTTTATTGCTTAGTTCTGTGTAACTCTTCAATCTTTCTTGTGGCATGATCATCATGTGTTGCTTGAAGTTGAAGTAAACATTCTTCAATCTCTATATCATATTCATCTTCAACCTGTTTAACTGAATTAAACATGTCTCGATCCATAGGTGGTGAAAGTGTTTCTGTTTTAGTGACCTTTCAGACTCTTTCTTCCACCACATCAATTTGATAAAATTGATGATTCTCTTTATGATTTTACATGGCTTCAAACATGTTGAAGACAATTTTTTCTTTGTTGAATCGCAATATTAACTCTCATAATTCTACATCAATGAGAGCTCTACCTTTTTCCAATAACGGTCTTCCTAAAATAAGTGGTGTTTTATTATCTTTAGGCATAACTAAATTCAAAAATATGTGGGAAACAACAATCCATTGACTCTAACGAGGATATCTTCAAGAACTCCATATGGTTATGTGATCGGCCGATTAGTTAATGTTATAGTCATTCCAGTTGGTTTCGGCTCACCACAATTTAACTTCCTCATCATACAAAGCGGCATCAAATTGGAAAAATAGAAAATCAGACAAATTAAAACAAAAACAAAGATATAATAGCAAATAAATAAAAATAAGAAAAATTCGAAATTAAACCTAAAAATTTTAAAATAACAACTTAAAATAAAATAAAACAAACCTGGATAAGAGTGGAAAATAAAATTAAAAACAACAATAACAACTCAAAGTTGATGAGTTGTGTATCAGGTGATTAACAATTACGTGAAAATTATATGGAGAATTAACACAACCACTGCACCCAATTCCTTAGTGTGCAGCTCACTAATTTAAACAATAATTCTCTAATTCCTTAGGATAATTCAAATTTAAACTAGGTGTTTCTAATTTCATTAATCCTAATATTACAACTTATAATTACTTATTCCTATTTAATTACTAAGTTGAACAATTATCCTAGTTCAGATCAGTAGACTTACGGTCAATAATCTTTACTTATCTAAAAATCACTTTGAGCGCTCGTCAACACACAAATATCAATGAACACAAGAACAATTAAAAAATAATTATAACATAAAAGAAAACAAATAGTCTCAAACATTCATATGATTCAACATAGTATATAATTAGGTTTGTCTCATAATGACATAATCTAAAAGAACTTATAGTGCAATTACCAATTATCATGGGTTGATAAGAAGAATACATCAATATAAAATATCCTCTCCAATTGCTCAAATGCTATCCAAAATCGCCCACAAAAGCTCTTGGTCGTCACTTTCTCTCTATAATTCGGAACCCTAAAAAAGTTTCCACCTTTTCTGTTTAAAGCTGCAAAAAAAACGTGTCTGAATTTTGCGTCATCGCAACTGCGTTAGATTGCATCGTGGTTACGATATAACTTCATCACACTCACGATAAGAGCATCGTGGTCGTAAGAGTTCCAGTGGCAAATGCTTCTTTTTCTTGTTTTTTCTCTTATTTTTTATAAGTCCTAACTTTCTACCACTTTTTGCATTTTTGCTCATTTCTTTATCGTTTTAGCTTGGCTTTGGCTCAAAACTGCATTAATTCCATCGAAAATACTCACCAATTAAGTAATGAAAGAGTGTCATCAGGAAACAACAACACTCAAAGCCAAGGCTTAAACTGCATACAAGCTACAACCCTAAATCAAAATAAACTTCAGTAGAAGGCAAAGTGCATGAACAAAAATAGTCATCAACAAAACTCGATCAAATAGCAGACCAACACCTGCAATGCAACCCATTCATCCGCCCACCTAAACCAACCTACACCAAGCATCTTCCTTGTTCAATGCATTAATCCGCCCAAACAAATTACATGTTTGTTTTGTTAAAGGCATTAAAACAGTCCCAAGCAAGTCGTTTAATCCTCCCAATAATATCAACCTTATTCAACACCCCCTTGAAAAAGAATATAATTCTTACAAGACCAAATTGACCAAACCAAAAAGGCAATGGACATCAACACTAAATCACCTAGCTAACTTCAAATTCAAAAGTTTTAACAAAGAGACCACAAATCCCTCTTTAAAATCCAAATCCACTTCAAGTCAATCACACACATCCAGTCAAACCTTGTTCAGAATAAGGCACGACGTAAAAAGATGGTCCATGTCCTCATTAACAGTAAGACAAAAAGGGCAGACTAAATTATGAGACCCTGACACGACACCACATCTACCTAGCTCTACTCTCGTTGGTAATTTGTTAAGGGTCATTCTCCAACCAAAAATAAGAACCTTGCTTGAAACCTTTTTTTTTCAAAAACTGCCCAACAGTCAAATCAAAGTCATTCACAAAAGATTTTGTATTACTAGTAACTTGCAATTGCAAATAGGTCGTCTTAATTGAAAAATCGTGATTGTCCCGCCACCAAACAAATGAGTCCTCTGTTAATAAAATGTGTCATTGTTTTATGCATGTTTAGTTCATTAGATTGATATATTATAATAATAATAATAATAATAATAATAATAATAATAATAATAATAATTATTATTATTATTATTATTATTATTATTATTATTATTATTATTATTATTATTATTATTATTATTAAATAAAACAAAATATATATTTGTCTAAAAGCAAATTGTATTTTTGGGTTTGGGCTTTGCTCTTTCCTATCTACCAAAAGAACGGGTCAAACTATCTTAACTTTAATAATGTATGATAAAAACTTTTATTTTAGGGATACATAAATTGATCTTTTTTTTTAACTTTTTTTTTAATCATTTTTATAAAAAAAATTGTAAATAAAATTATTATTAATAAATGATTGTTAGAACATTATCTCACCACTTAATGTAAAACTCGTTTTTAAAAGATAAGGTAGAAGAAATGAGAGATTTAAGTGTAATATATAAAAAAAAACAAATTAATGTTTTTTTTTATAAATAAATAAAATTTCAAAGTAAAAAACTTACCTATAATTTCTTAGGTGTGATTTTTACTATATTTCATTGAAAATATCACATGTGTATTTAAATATTATTTAAGAATAGAAAATAGGAGAAAATTATATATGTATAGGAAGAAATTATACACTTATCATATTTAGTTAAAAAATAGTAAAAACCGCACCTAAGAAATTGTATCTAAATTTTATCTTCAATTCCAAAAGCAATATGCATTAAGAAAAATAAACATATTTAAGATAAAAACATAAAGTTATACTCCCTCCAATAACAATATATAATCAAAATATATGTATGTATCTGGTCTAAATTTAGTAATTAAAAAAGGGTATGCCCTAAATAGTATCTTTTGATGCAAAAAAGGGTTTCAATCAATTTAGAAGTTATAAGAAGAAATGCAAGTGTAAGATGATAACATCCCTTCACGTGGACATTCTTATATCATTGGTCCAACATTGACTTGACAAGTGACATTATATGCCCTAAATCAAGTATAAATATCTTCTTCTAGGGTATGAATTTTTTAACTAAACTAGCAACAACATGAACATGTTACGAAAACCCTAATTTCTAGTTTTTTTTTTCAACTATGTCCACTGGTAGTAGAGACCCTCTTGTTCTTGGAGGTGTAATTGGTGATGTATTGGATCCCTTTCAAGCTTGTATTCCTTTAAGAGTTTCTTACAATAATAAAGATGTTACTAATGGTTGTGAATTCAAACCTTCTCAAGTTATCAATCCACCAAGGGTTAGTGTTGGTGGTGATGATCTTAGAAACTTCTATACTCTGGTAATTTTATAAACGGTGTTTCTTTATAAATTCGAACTCAGTACCTCGAGGTTAACAAAACATAGATGGAAAAAAATTTTAAAAATTATAATTCTTTTGTTAGTGTATTTTTGTTTGTAAATATTATATTTGATTGGTAGAATTTTGTATTTGAATTAATTTCTTTTATTATAGATCATGGTGGATCCTGATGCTCCTAGCCCTAGTAACCCAAATTTGAGGGAGTATCTTCATTGGTGAGTAATTAACAAAATCATAAGCTTTGAAAATGCTATGACTATATATTATTTAATTAATTAATTAATTAATTACTACTCTATTAATATACTTCAGGTTGGTGACTGATATTCCTGCAACTACTGGGCCTACTTTTGGTATGTTTTGTGTTCATTCATTTCTTCATTTTTATTTGTTTGTGATGATGTTGTTAATCAAATATCTATAGGGTGAAAATGTGATTAAACACATAAATATAAAAATAAAATAAAAATTACAATATTGTGCATACCAATTAAACTTAATACAATATATGAAGATCTCAGAATTCAGTTACCACAATTCAAAACTTCAATTACACTTAACCTTAGTCTTCTGAAATTCAAAAGAACTAAGATTCAAATACTAGGGTTTATAATATAACTATGATAAACTAATTTATGTACTAATCCTAATACAAACAAATTCAGAGATGATGCGTGATGCTAATGCAAAAATTATTTCAAGATTTTATTTGCATATATTATATCTGTGTGAAAATTTTATATTGTCAGTCAATCACAATCATACTCGGATCATTAACTAAAATATCCGACATTGACAATATTTAAAATTTATTTTGACAGGTCATGAAGTAGTACCTTATGAGAGTCCACGACCGTTGATGGGGATTCATCGTATCGTCTTTGCGGTTTTTCATCAACTCGGTAGAGAGACAGTGTATGCTCCGGGATGGCGACAAAATTTCAACACAAAAGAATTTGCAGAACTTTACAATTTGGGATTGCCAGCTGCTGCTGTTTATTTTAACATTCAAAGAGAAGCAGGCTCTGGGGGAAGAAGGTTATGCCGATGATTTATTATATTATTACATACAAAAAAATTAGATATTTCAATAAATAAAGTTTTGTAAAATCCAGTTTCTTATGGAAATTTGAACTTGAAATTAACTCTTCTACACTCAATTTTGGTTCATAATTCAAACTATACAGAAAATATTCACAACGGTGGCAATAAATAATCTATAAATTTTGGTTCATAGTACTGTTATAGATATAAGCAAAAATGGAAGAAAATTAATTGAAAAATGAGAATATAGATAAATTTTATGCACTTGCAATAAAAAAAACACTTTAGAAAATACATCTAAAATTTATTTATTTTATTTTTGTTAATAGAATGAAAGAAGAAAAAAAAACAGACTTCACAATCTAGAAAAATGGGTTCTAGCACTATCCACTAGCAAAGCAAAATTAGAAAAATTATAACACTAAAACAACAAAAATTAATCTATAAAATTCTTAACTTAATTTAAAGTTTCAGAAATTATTTACAAATATTATTGTTTTAAGAATAAAAATTTATGCATAACTTCTCCACTTTTTATTCATACATTAAATTATAGATATATTTTATTTTTGGAAACAAAATACAACCACCAATAACTATCTATTTTTCTTTATTATTACTTTATTTCTAATTTCATATTTATAAACTAAATAAGCATGTTCATGAGAATATATAAAATATGAATTTAATTAATTATAAAGTAAAATTATTTTACACTATCATCCAATAGAAAATTTTCAATCTGTCATATTATACTATTAACTTAAAATTTACAGAATGATTTGACGGAATATACATGCGGCTAATTGGTTGACAGTGTAAATTTACACTGTCAAGACATACCAATTAAATTCATAAAGTATTTATAAAAAAAACACATTTATCTGATAAAATTCTGGAAATAGATTTTAAAGCCAGAAAACAAACACACTCTTAAAATACTAAATTAGCCAAAAATAAAAATAGATAAAATTGCATAAAAATAATTTATTAACAACCATAGAAATTAATTTCAAAATAAAAAAAGCATAAAGTGAAGAGAAAAAAAAATTCCAACAATATACATTACATACATATGGTGCAGATCTAGGGTTCCATGTTCCAATTCCAACCATTTTTCTTCCAACAAACTGCAAAACCAAAAAGAAAAAAAATTCAAACATTGTTCTTAGCATCAAGATGATATCAAAATATGAATGAAAACATGAAATTCTAACAACAGAAACATTCAAACCACAGTTGTAATTTGATAATATGTTATGGTTGATGAATGCAGATGGAAATATGAAACAACAGAAAATACTGTTGGTACTTCTGAATCCTCCAAGACCTCAAAACGCTCTGCTCAGACTTCAATGTCAAATTCTTCGACCAGCTCGAAACGCTTGGCTGCGAGACTGCGTTCTCGGGCCGACCGGCCGGAGCAATGACAGATCTAACTGGAGATGGAATCAATTGTTGTGTTGCTTTCATATCTAGTAGCTGCCATGATATTATTCCCTGGATCGAAATGTGAGCAATCAGTAAATAAATAAATATCTTTTTGGTTTTTATGAGAACAGTTAATTTGTCTGCTTTTTGTTTTGTTTTAAATAAATAGATTTGAACTCTCCTATCATCCTATTAAATATTTTTCAGGCTTTTAGCATCTGAGTTGAATTTACTGGATTAATTTTTTTATTTAATCATATCAGATGCACTCAATATTTTATTTTTATGAAATACTAACATATCGATATTAATAATAATTTTAAAAAATAAATAGATTCAACGTAATTATATGAGTTTAGAGGTGTGATGTTACAAAATATTTTAAATTTTTTTTTTAAGTTTAATCAGATGAGATAAGAGTTTTAAAAATTGGAGGTTATGGGTTAAAACTGATTTTTATTTTATTTATTTATCACTCAATTCTACCATTAATTGAACTGCTTCCTTTTTATTGGCTAAACGCCATGAAGCATGTTCAGTATTCAATGTTTTACAATTTGAATAGATGGTTGAGCTTAGGACTGACTAATACATATATGGTTTAGTCTGGAATACATTAACCAATTTTCATTCGTTTTTCTCTTTTCTTTTATTTATTTTTCATTCAATTCTATGTAATTGAACCATAAATTTTTATTAATAAAAAATATATATAATTAATATTACACAAAAATAGCAGATAAACAGATAATAAGTTATGTCGTTACTTTTTTTTATAATAAAATTAATTTTTTTTTAAACATTATTTTCATTGTTCTAGGTGACACAATATTGTTATGCATGAGTTGTTGCATTCACCGTAAAAGATCAACTGCTTCAGATACAAGAAAATCAAAGGATTCAAAGACAAATGATAAGAAGACATGTTGATGTCAAAACACGTTTTCTAAGACTTGACCATTTTATTTGAAGCGGCTTTGAGAGCTGCTTGTCCCACACACTACTAGAAATGCTGTATTTAGCCTCGGCCACTTTCCAAGGCTATAAGGCATAAAACCGCCGCTACTAGCCAATTAGCCTCGGCGTAGCGTCGGTGTCGGGGATAGGCTAAAACGATCGAAGCTAACTTTTAGCCTCGGCAAGATGATGCGTGTCTAAAGTAGCCTCGGTCTAGCCGTGTCTAATTTAGCCTCGGTAAAGCCGTGTCTACTTTAGACTCGGTGAAGCCGTGTCAAAAAACAAAAAATAGCCTGGGCCTGACCGAGGCTAAAGTCAAACTCCATAAGCTCACATAATATTTAGCCTTGGTCCTGGTCGAGGCTAAAGGAACATTTTGCCTCGACTTTTTCGAGGCTAAGTTGAAACTTTATAAGTAAACAAAATATTTAGCTTTGGCCTAACCGAGGCTAAAGTCAAATTGTAAAAGTCAACAAAATTATGCCTGATTTCCAATTGTATAATCTATATCAAGCATTCAAATAGTAAGACAAAATAAAATTACCAATAGCAGAAACACAATTCATGCAAAATTATGCCATATTTGCATGCCTGCTCCAATAAAAAATACTCAACACTGCCATGTAGCATCGGGCACAAAGAAATACAAAACCAGTCTACATAATTAGTTTGACACTTAGGCTGTAGATAGACCAACCAACCACAGCTAAAAATCAGTCTTCTTGATATACAGGGGAGTGGATGGAAATAGTGAAACCTTGTAAGCCATACCAGTGAAGAAGACAATGGTAGAGGACTAAAGGCTGGGTAGAGCTGTGATTCCGTCCAATTTCCTAACAAAGGGCACAGAAGGGGAGGTGGCCAAGCGGTTACTGCCTAGAGAAACAAGAGGCGGAACACCACCATACCTCTATTTTTAGGGATGTATGCATTTTGGGTTTGAGGGGTGTTTGGAAGAGTTTTTATGAGTTTAACTTATTTAATTAATACTTAAGCATTTGAAAGAGCATCAGAAAATAGCTTATGGCATGCCCCAAGGATGTCAATAGGGGGGGGGGGGGGGGGGGGGGTGTTAACCTTCATGCTAAGTTAGCGAAGGAGATTAGATCTGTTGTTAAGTCGAATGGCGGGAAAGTGACGATGGCTGCATTGGAGCAAATGCCGTTGATGAAGTCAGTGGTTTATGAATCGTTTAGGATTGAACCACCGGTGCCGTTGCAATATGGGAAAGCTAAATATGATTTTGTGATTGAGAATGATGAGAACGTGTTTCAAGTGAAGGAAGGTGAAATGCTGTTTGGTTTTCAACCGTTTGCGACTAAGGATCCTAAGATTTTTGAGAGGGCGGATGAGTTTGTTGCGGAGAGGTTTATTGGTGAGGAGGGAGAGAAGCTGCTGAAACATGTGCTATGGTCGAATGGTCCTGAAACGGAACAACCGACGGTTGGGAATAAGCAGTGTGCTGGGAAGGATTTTGTTGTGTTGTTTTCTAGGCTTTTGGTGGTGGAGCTGTTTCTGAGATATGATACTTTTGGTGTTCATGTTGAAAAGGCGCCTATAGGATCTGCTATTACCTTTACTTCTCTTAAGAGAGCAACCTATTAGTTTAGTTTTGTTGTGGTCATATGCATGATGAATGTTGTTTTGTTACTTTTGGTTTTGAATGGAATCTATAAAGTTAAACTGATCATGTAGAGCTTCAATATTAATCAAGTTAAATGCTATTTACGTATATGCATTCCATATAATGATTATGGTAAGCATTACATATATAAGTTAAATGCTGTTTACATACATATGCATGATAATGAAAAATATTTCATAGTAAATGCACACATTCCATATAACATCATCAGCAACAGGTCTTTGTTCAATGGTCCTATCCACTATTAGAGATAAGCTTGCCTAAGGTACTGTAACTCACATCTGTCAGTATTGGTTAGTTAAGTAACCTGCTACTGCAGGTTACACGATTGCTACTATAAAATTCAAACAGTTGTAACACTATGTAATCAAGGAAAGAGGAAAAAGTTAGTTACAATAGAATTATGAAGAGTGATACCATATGAAATTTTTGACAGAAAAACAGAAATATATTATTGAACTTTGAAACATCTTTTGCATAAATGGAAAATTTTGGATGAAATACCTTCTTATTCGGAAACACTCTCTCCGGCATTGTAACTATTTGACATTGAAGAGAGTGAACGGTTTCAATGCTTCTGTTATTCTCCATGCTTCTAGCTATAATAACATTTACTCCACTCTATAATAGATAAATAATGAAACGAATCAACTAAACACATTACTATTTGATAAACTAAAGGTTTCTAAACCATGAACACGTTAGTCATACGCTGAATTAAAGTAGATACAAACCTTTGGATCAGTAGCATCAACAACCCTCATGGATTTGAGACTGTCTGGGTTAGCAAGAATTTTAACGCCGCCATCTTCCGTACTAGCAGCGAGAAGATTTCCTTTCTTATTGAACTTCAAGCGAGGAAGATTCTAGCGCAAGGCATCAACAATGTCAAATAGTTTTCACAAAAAATGTATCCAAATATCGAAATTAAAAGGACTATACTCACAGGAAGATCGCCCTCAACGTTTATTTCCATCAAAACATTACCAGTGATTAACCAACCAGCACCCAACCAACCAGAACCCAACCAACCAGCACCGCAGCTGACAATAGAAGGTGGCACCGGCGTGGCACTTCCATATCTTGCAGCAGCATAGGATATTACTACTTAACAGGCAAAATTGCAATGACGAGTGACACGAGATTCTTATTACTTGTGTGTTAAACACTTATGTGCAATATTTTTCACTTCATCAATCAAGCCTCTATTATAAGAATCCAACCCTTCGGTTGAGAATGTATCAGCAAGATTCGCGATTTTCCTCATAGCAGTAACCTGTAACAGCTTGTAGCAGTCATGTATGTATTCATAGCATATCTAAGAGAAGGATAAGTATAAAAAAATAAGCAAAGACATACTGCTCTCTGATACTATGACTCTACAGATGATGTAACTCTCCCAATGTATTTTCGAGTTATCTTCTGGTACCACTGCATGTACTCATCCTCACCTAAAATGTTGTTGCCTTCAACAATATGAAGCCAACGCTCTGACCTTCTTTGAGAGCCGTGTCCATTTTTCCCATCAAGTCTACCCCATGATCCACTATACGACTCTTCCTCTCCCAATGTTCCACATCTTTTGGATGGCTTGATGCATGCCGAATTGCCTTAAGCAACAATCGGGAAGGTGCCTTTTCGCCTTGTTAAAACACAACAGCATAGTCCTAGATGCCCGTAAAATCAAACTAGTTTGCATATATTCTTGAATGACTGCATAGTCCATATCCTTGTAAGGAAGCCACTGGACCTGTGTATCGATACTAAAGAATTCCTTCAGCACCCACCAGCGTGGCACTAACATACATCGTTCAGTTTCCTCCAGTAATGCATCTTCAGGACACTCGGAAAAGAATTCCTTCAGCCAAGTAAGCTTCACAATTCCACCATTCAAATCATCCGGTACTCTCCCTAGTAGTTTCTCACAGGCTGCACTGGGTGCACTTATTGGTCCTATTACAGGTTCTCCATCAATAGCCAATCCAAGTAACAATGCTACATCTTCCAGGGTTATTATAAATTCTCCAACGGTTAAGTGAAAAGTATTTGTTTCTCTCCTCCACCTCTCAACCAAAGCTGCTATCAGTGCGTTGTCAAGACTCATAGCAGGAAGTAATCGTAGGTAACAGAAACCAGCCTTCTCAACCAACTTAATCTGTTTAGGTGTGAGCTTCCACTGATCAAGCATTGAAGTGTGTTCATGGCATCTAAGAACACCGCGCTCCTGTGAATTTGGTATGAAATATATTATCATATTCAATAATATGAATAATGAGAAACGCGACTCAACAGAAATTACAAATGGTAGGGAAAATGCATGCACCCACCTGTCCATCCCAAACTGCTGAAGAAACATGGTTATCTTTCAATGAAAATATAGTTAGCAAATTAAACTCTGCATTGGAATCTGAACCATCCAATGTGGTTGATTGCGTCCGGTTACACTCAACATTATTCAAATGCATAAGAAAAAAGTAAGACTCACCTTTCCATCATATTCTTTCTTCGTAAGGACCTCGGGTGCAATGTAAGCCGGAGTTCCTACCGTAGACTTTGGTTGCGAATGCAATACAGATGACTAAAGGACAAGGTAAAAACAAATGAGTATCACTTGAAAAAAAGATTCTAGACTTGTAATGTTTTGTAAACATGTTACCTTTGAGTAACCAAAGTCGCAAATCTTGACTCGTGGCGCGGTGCTTCCATCGGAATAACTGCAATGCTGCAATCGCAACACTCAAAATTTAGAACCCAAATCTCAAATTACTTCTAAAAATTCTTAACATATTTTAAATTGCGTATTTCAAACTCTTCTCAATCAAAACTCATGTCGCAGGCCGCAATACGCGGCGACCGCAATTTAAAACCATGGTTGGTAACTTCAGTTTCTATATTACCTCATCTTCACTAAATCTACCAGCACTACATATCCTCTCAAAGAGTTCTCGTCCAACAGCATACTCCATTACTATAGCTAGATGTGTTGGTGTTAGCAGAACCTGCAAAGTCATTTCATCAAAGTTCATTCAAAGAAAGACTTAATCACAAGTTTCTACAATCCATAACAAATTGAATCAAACCAAGAAGCTAGAGCAAAACATAATCACAAGTTAACAAACTAGAAAGGATCTTGAGTAAAGTAACTAACCTATTTGAATCTAACATATTAGAATGCTTCAATGATCTATGATTCATGCTTTCTCTCTGAACATGTTCGTCAATCTGCAGTACACAAATTTCAACAATGAACCAAACACATATACAAACACAACACACATTTAACATGCACATACTGCCCTAATGTCAGTCTTCCATTTAACAACCAAACATTTAGCATGGTGATGAGTTTTTAACAGCAACAAACATTTTTCAATGTTGTTTGGTACTTTGGAGAGTAGGCTTGTAGTTGTGGCGGGTATGGGTCGCTGAGTATGACATAATTGGGAGTTTTTCTACGCAGAAAGGAATGAAATCACTTACTACAACTATTTCTGCAGCACCGAAAAGTTCACTACAGCTATTTCTGCAGCACCGAAAAGTTCAGCCGAAATGACAATGTTGCGTTTGGTTATTTTACAAGCACTGTGGTTGTTGAGGTTATGAACAGAGTAAGTGGAGGGTGGTTGGAAAGTAATAACTTGAATAGAGACAAGTTTAACTATCAACACACTGGTGAAATTGTGTACTACTTCTTTGGTTGAAATAAAGTAGCACATCAACATACTAATTGAACGTTCAAATGCAGTACCAATTCATCATTTTATTGAAACAAAGTTAATAAATAGGAGAAATAAAATAGTAACTAGAAATGAATGTCGTTTGCCTATTTCAAATCTCAGTATTTAGGATTCAAATCCAAAAACGTGTTCGCCTTCTCATCCTTCTGCGTTCGAATCCAACAGAATCTCCTCTCAAAACTTCTATGAACACAAACTAACTTATGTTTCTCCTTCTATTAACATGTCATCATTTTAATAAATAGAATAACAACCACAACAACAAAAAAACTCAAATAGAAAGTCCAGTATGAACCAAAAACTCAAATGAACTGAAATCGCATAACTAATCGATCAGTAAATCTCGCAAGAGAGGTCAAAAACTGGAAATTGTCAATTAGCTAGCACCTAACAAGAGTTTTTTATTGGCTGTTATCTATTATAAGTGTTGTGAACTTTGAATTAGCTAGAACCTAACAAGAGTTTTTTACACACTAACATTTTCCCCTTCATAATAGAATGTCAATTACCATACTAACAGAACCGAGTTCAACCACATTTAACAGAACAATGCATATAAAATCTTAAATAAAAATTAGAATGCAAAACCTAACAGCAACACAGACAAAAGCAGGGGATGAGTTGAATGCAAAACATCATAATCATTAAACCTAAATCTCAGTTAGGGTTGGAATTAGAATGGCAAATAACAAAATCTAACCTTAAAATGGCAAATAACACAAACAAATTGATTTTATCTCTGCGTCTTTTCTCTGCTTGACTATGATTCTTGGAAGCACTTGCAGCTTTATCTTCTAAACTTCCTTCAACAGGTAAAGGTCAAGACTAAAACTCACTACATTGAAAAAAGCAGAAGAAGAATCAGAGATAGTTTGAGGATAAAAAAAGCAGAAGAAGAATCATAGACCAAGAAACCCACTCACAAGAATCAATGATCTTGAAGATGAAAACAAAGAGATGAAACTCACTACATTGATTTTAGGGGTTTTTTTTCTTCTGAAAATGTATGTCTTTAATTTTAGGGTTCGTGTTCTCTGAAAGGAAATAAGAGGGAAACATGAAAAACAAGGTGGAAAATACTTAGCCTCGGCTCATCCGTGTCTACCAGATAAAATAAAAAAATAAAACACGTTAGCCTCGGCTGATCCGTGTCTACCAGATAAATTAAATATATATTCGAAAAATATTAAAAACTTTAGCCTCGGCTCATCCGTGTCTAACAGATAAAATAAATATATATTTAAAAAATATTTAAAATGTTATCCTCGGCTGGACCGTGTCTAATATTTAAAAAATAGAAAAACTCTTATATGGGGTTTATTGCATTTAAATAGCCTCGGTGAGCATGTGTCTAATACTTTAAAAAAATTTAGCCTCGGCCTAACCGTGTCTAAATAATTAAATAAAAATAATTGTAAAAGAAAAACTTTAAAATGGCTTTTTTTTGCGTTTGAGTAGCCTCGGTTTTTTCGAGGCTATTTAGCCTCGGTGTCGGTGGCCGAGGCTAAATTCGCAGCTAAAATGAAGTTTTCTAGTAGTGACAGTAAAACATGCAGTCCTTAGTCTCACCAATGGAGAAACTTCAGTCAAGTCGACACATGCATATTTCTCTCCTACACACTCATACACCAGAACATCGGTTGTTCTAAGAGTCGATCTCCCCTCTTGTGGGTCAGTCAAGAAATTCACATATGCCTCTTTCTTCACAGATACCCCTGCACACCTAAATATATCAAATAGGACATCCCTAACAAAGTCATGTCTATATTTGAATTCTGAAAGCTCCTTGTAATGAATGGTGTATTTCCAAATGTATTCAAGCACACCTTGTAGAAAACAGAGCAAACTTCATCAACAAGGAATAAGGCAATCATAAGCCAATATTTAAGGATGGTACGGTACTCTAACAGAGAGATATGTTAGCCTAGACCGTCTTTAGGGATAGCAATGAGAAAATCTTGAGCATGTGCTGCTTGCAAACAACCAAATATTGCTTTTTATTTTGTGGTCATGTCAAACTTTACATTCATATCCTGAACAATTTTACTAAAAAGCGCACTCGCCAAAACATGTTGTGCTTTACGAGGGACAGTTTCCTTTCTAGTAAAACTGCTAAGGTCAAAATTTAGAATTTTAGATATCTTACCAAATCAATCTCTGATTTGAATTTTAAAATATTGTCTCGATCTTTCGATTTTGCATCCATCACTAAGCATTTGTTATTTTTCTAATGAGGTTCTACCTCTTCCTCACATCACATTGGTTACAAATATATAAACTAAAAAAGTGTATATAGTGTCATCTCATCTTACAAGTTAGTTTTGTAGGGATAAATTATGTCAAACTCTAAATTTAACATGGTATCACGAGCTCACCGATCTGCGTCACCCATCACTTATATGCACATCAAGCCCAATAGTGTTAAGTGTAAAGGGGTGTATTGGAAAAACTAAATCCTACATATGCCCACAACTCTGACCATCCACAGTTTACACACGCACTAAATTCAACAGTGTTGAGCGTGAGGGAGTGTATTGAAAAAAATCCAAGTCCTACATTGATTAAAGGTAGAGCCTACAAATTGATTATATAGATTGACATTTTCACCTTACAATCAATTTTGTATGGATGAGTTAGAACAAACTCTAATTATTTGATATTAGAGCCTGCTTTAAAATTTGATGGATCATCTGCTATCAGGTTTCCGGTATCAAGTCACCATTCATTTACATCCCCACTCCACATGCCCTAGGGGTGTGTTAAAATTTTTTACATTTTATAATATATGGTCTAATAATCTTCGTCTTACAAACTGATGTTGAAAGAATGAGTTAGATTGAACTCTAATTCTAAATAGTATTAGAGTCTATCAATTAAGCCACGAAACACCATTCGTTTATATTTGCGCACCAAACATAATAGTGTTAGACGTGAGAGGATGTATTAAGAAAATTACAAGTCTCAAATTAGTTAAAGATTGAACTTGAACAAAATTTATAAAGTGACATTATATTACGAGTTGGTTTTATAAAAATAGGTTAGACGAACACTAATTCAAATACAATAGGATAAGTTGATATTCTATATGCAATTTTCTTCTCAACTTAATCTTATAAAGATTAGAGATTTCACCTATCAAAATACAGTTGCTCCAACTATGTGTGTGCGCTTGCGCGCACTTGCATTTCAAAAGTCAAGATATGACTATCGACAAGTTGACATCAATCTTAGCCAACTTTTTATTTACTTAAGGAGTTATGCTTCAAACTATTCAAAAGAGGTTATAGAACAAACTTCTATAATATTATAATCTATGTAGTATCAACAATTTTCATGAAAATGAATCATGTGTCGATAATAGGAGACTAAAACATGTAATTTATATTTAATTAATGACTTAATATTTTTTTTTTCCTTATCGTAATTTCGGAGTTCATTTTGGTCTTTAAACTTAAAAATGGTCCATATTAATTCTTTAACTTCTCAAAAATGTTTTATATCAATCTTTTTTGTTTTATTAACAACGAAAAAATTCAAAAATCAATTGTTAAATTCATCGTTAACTAGACAAAAAAGACTAATATGTAACGTTTGGAAGAGTTAAGGAACCAATATTGACCTTTTTAAAATTAAGAGATCAAAATAAACCTCAAATTTAAGATACAAGACTGAAAACAGTATTAAACCATTTGATTCTCTTTATTACACCAATTTTAATTTATTTTTTTTGGTGAATTTAAGATTTTGATAGTTGCGAATTATGATTTACAATATTTGTGTAAAAAGAGAGGCTTAGAAAAAAATTAAAATTGAAGGATGAGAAATCAAATGTTTTGTTGTGAAATTATGAATTAATATTTGAAATATATTAAAATAAAAAATAAAATAAAATAAAAAAAAGGAGATTTCCTCATTTTAGTTTCACAAGACCTTTCTAGCAAATTTATTGGTAAGATAATTTTGGAGTCTACTCTTTATGTTAGGATTGATGAAATAGGATATAATAGAAATGAATAAATATATTTTAATTGATTGGATTGATTAAAAGATAATAGAATAGAGTAGAATATGATTGGATGTATTTCGTTTCAATTCATCATTTAACTCCAGATTTTTATATTCATTAATTTCGGCGGAATAACAATTTTTTGATTTCAATATGAAATAGGTAAAATAATAGAATGATATTTTTATTCTCCTTTATTCCACTCAATTCATTTTAAAATATCAATACATAATAAGGTGGAATGATGAAACAGAGCAATGTGGAAATTTTATTCTATAGTCTGAATATTATATAGTAAGAAGAAAAATGTGGAGGTAAGTAGGATCAGTGGATGGTGATTTCTCTCGTGTTTGTTGTTATGGTCTAGTGGTTAATTTTGGTTGGTTATAATTTCTTGTGTTTATTATTATTTTTATTTGTATTTTAGAGAAAAATCCTGGAAGTGGTACCACCAGCACCATCTCGTTCAGGTGAAGTCTGCTTCTTATCTTTTACTTTGTCAAAAGATTGTTCCATCTTCAGTCTCACGCTACTCTTAATATATTCTCTTACTAAGACATTGATTAAAAGAATCAACGACTGGGATCAATAATTGCATTTTCCATATCTACGGCTAAGATCACCTGCTACATTTCAGTTTAAATAAAATTTGTTTGGCTTTTTGCATTAAAAAATAAAGAATATGTTGTCAGATACAAAATGTACCAAAATATCTGTACGGAAAGTACCAAAATATCCTCTTGTAAAAAATGTAGTAAAATATCTTCAACCAAAATATCCCACATACCACAGATATTTTCAAGAAAATATCTAGTTAGCAGTAGCTACCACACCTCCACCAGAACAAAAACTATATAATACTATAATTATTTATTTATTTAAAAAATATATATATAAGTATTTTTTATGGAAAAGAAATATAAGAAGTTCTAAGAATAATAATATAAATTTTGTCCTAATAATAATAATAATAATAATAATAATAATAATAATAATAATAATAATAATAATATATGTAAATATTGAGAACTGAAGAAGATGAGCAATAATGGAATGGAAGGAGAAGAAAAATACCAACCTAAGAAAAGCCTAATTTGAGTCTAATTCATTGCAAATTTGAGATGTCCTTCATTTCATCAATCAATCCAAAGCCAAAGATCCCCAACCAAAAACACAAACAGAACAACAACTTTCTTTTTTTTTTATAAATAAAAATATAAATTGGTGAAAATGAAAAAAATAAAAAAAATAAATAAAAGTCACTATCTCTCTCTTTCTCTCCCTAGTTTTGGATCACAGTTCTTTGATCATTCCTCATAAGTAAGTGATAACAATGGTTTGAAGTTTGTAGTGTGAGATCTTGTTGAAGAAGAAGAGAGGTTTGTTTGTTTTTTTGTGGTTGGGAAATGAGGAGACAGCACATGAATGGATATTAAGACAGACAATGGCTAAAGTTTATTTCTTTTTTACTAAAAGTTGTTTGGGTCCATTTTTTCTTCTTATCTCTTAACGGGCCCATTTGAATTTTTTTTGTATTTGTATTTATTTTATTTAAATCATAAAGCATGATATTTGATATATAAACCGAACATTGATATATAAACCGAAACAATAATAATTACTAAAAACTCAGAAAATGATAAGAATAGATGTTATTCAAATTTTATATTTTTAGGGTATTATAGTATATAAGAAAAGATTATCTAAAATTTCAATTTAGTCATCTAAAATTCTCCTCTAACATCATTTTTAAATTTTCCTAAATTAAAAAAATTAATTGTTTTATAGAAAAAATATTATCTCAAACATTTATATTTTCTCTTAATTTATAGTTGGAGGATATATAAATACAAAAAAAAAATCCATCACGTAATCAAGCAACTCATCTGGTACATTTATCAAATTTATCCACAAATGTAAGTTTTTTTTTCTTTCATAAATACATCTATTTAAAAATAGAGACACCAAAACAGTGAATGAGGCAAAACAGAGGAATAATAATATATTTAATCTTTTATTTAAATTAGAAAATTGAGTGTAATTAAATTTGAGAGAGGAACAAATCTATCAAATATGCCACACACATAATCAAACTGTTGTTACAATCTTTCTGTTTATATTTTTATTTAAATTCTAGTTGGGACTTATATTACAATATAAACTTGGCTAATTAAGCTAAGAATTTAGTATCTTACAAGAACCTGTAATTTAATTTGTTTAGTTTTGAAGTAGTTTTGATCCTTGATAGGAGAATATGCGAACTGCATTCTGGTAACTTAATTCGGCTAGTTCCTCTTTTGTAACTTCTAGCATAGATGCAACATAATCAAGTACCTGTATGTAAAAATGAAATAGAAAAATGTAACATATTGCAAACCAACTGGAAAATTTGTCGGTTCGGTCTGGTTTTTAAAAGACTGAGTAGGATTTTGAAACCAGAAACAACTGATAAGTAGGTTCTGAAAGCTTCAATGTTACAATAAAGGCAGATACTTTATCAACTTACATTATGAATGTTAGCAGGATGATTGAGTGTTTCCTTCGGCAGCATCGAAGCATCTGTTACAACTTGAGACGAATTAGAGGGAGACGAATCAGAAGTTGAGGATGAAGTTGTTCTTTCGGCAAGAGAAGTATCTCCTTCAACAAAGAAAAGAGAATTTATGTTCGACTTTGGTAGCGCGTCAGGTGCATCTGTCTCCAACAAGATCCTATCAGAAGAGACCTAAATAGAAACAAGAATATCAATGTTTTGATATTTATATTTTTTAAATTACATTGAACATCAATCATACAACAGAAGTGACAAAAATCACACCATCTTCAGCATTTTCTTTGCTTTATTAGGTTTTAGCGACATAAGAAACCCGGAGAAGGAAAAATAAGCACCAAGCTTTGAAAATTCAGGAACCATCTCAGCAGAACCTAGGTAAGAATGAAGGATGACACCGGCGGGAAAAGGTCCCATAGACCTGGAACATTTTGAAATTTTTTAAGGAAGACTAATTACAAGGATGCTACTTCGTAATAATCACTAAGTATCTACCAATTACCATATTAACAATATGAAGAAAATATTGTCAGATTCAGGGATGTACACAGGTCTGAACAGCTTTTCAATTTCTTCAGAATGCTTTCCTCATTATTATGATAACAATACACAAAATACAGACTTCTAAATGGAAAAGCATATCATGCTTTTTGATTGGACTCGACGTTCCAATCTGAAAGGAGGCTTAGGATGTAAAACTAGGCAATGTGGCAGTAATGTATCTAATCATGCAGAACAGTTATGTAGTTGTTAGATATCCTCTTAATCCGATAAATTTGGAGGCGATTATTGTGTATCTTGAATGGTTTTAGACAACATTCATACTATGTAGACCTTTCTCAACAACGGAACAACATTCTTACTATTAAGGCTTTGTTTGAGAAATAGGAGAGGAATGCAGGGGAAGGGAAACGACTCCCGAGCCGTATTTGGGAGAGTTTTTTGGAGGGAAATGATTTGGGAAAATTTTCAAAGCCTTCCAAAATCCAAACCCCTCAAAAGTCCTCCAATTCATTTTTTGAGTTCCACCAAATAGCGATTTCAGCCCTATTAAGAAAAATAAATCTCCATGCAAGGTGAGGCTTCCATTTTCTGCTCCCTTTAATCTCAAACCCTTCCTCTCCTTTCCCCTCCCAACATCCAAACAAACCCTAAAATTATGTGTTTAATCATAATAAACACCAAGTAAAACCCAATTTGAAAAGAGGAGGTTTTGTGGCGTGCGAAGTTATCATTACACCATGATTAGAGTGACATAATTGAGGCTTAAATGGGGGCTAGCAAGAAAAGATAGGACATTTTAGGGAGAAAATTCTTATCGACAGATCAAATGTGTAGAAAGTAGAACAAGTTCAATCTATCTTAGAAAGTAGTGCTAGCTTAATTGCTTCCATTTGAATTGCTTCTGTCATTAATGATCCTTGTAATTTCTACGGATGTAAATTACGCAAGAATGCTGCTGTGTGCTAAGTAACTCAAGCACATTCAGAAAAAATTTCTTTCAACTGTTATGGCGTGGAAAATGACAGAGATGAAGATAACATGAAGGATGACTATTATGACCTTAGCTTGAATGATTTTCTAGATGTCTAGAGCTAGACTATTTTCTTTCATGTTTTGGTTTTATCTGTTATCAAAAACTTAAGTGGCTTATGAGTTGTATAAGATCTTATGAATTTTCAATTTAAGTTTTCTCAAGTCTTTTATGTGATTTATATATGTTACATAGTTTGTTTTCAATGCAAATATAATCACTTTGGCAAGTTCTTATAGTCCGTGTTATGATCCTACACCTCCCCCGTCCTTTCTTTTCCGACATGAAACTCAATTTTGACAACAATACAGTTTGCAATTTAAAAATATGACCTTTCATCATCATTGTTCTCGAACAATCTTTTAAATCCTAACAAAAGAAAGAAGAACAGATATGCATACTTCATTAACTCAAGAAGGTCACCGTAAGCGCGAACACAGTGTACAGATGCTGGCTTGTTTAACTCTTTAGCAAGTTCAAGCTGCTGCCTTAATACTTCAACCTGCATAGATATCTTAATTTATTAGAAACCAACAATCCAGATAACATTCTTCGGCAAGAAAGCACCGTATTCACTCTCAAAACCAATACCAGCAAGTTTAAAAAATTTCCATGACATTTGTCCTATCACCGCTACAGATTCAGTTTGGAATTTTGATATTTAGCGAATTCAGGGTCATTAACATCAAAGATCATTTAAAGTTAACTCGACTCAAATTACTTAAGTCGTAATAGTGCCCAGAAAAATAAAAGGGGAGCTAAAACCTGCTCAGAAAAATCAATCTTCTTGCCGTGTGATCCTTTGTCTAAACCAATCTGTGGAAGACAAAAAAAACAACTCAACAATCAATTGTTAAGCACACAACATTCAATACAGTGACAGTCTACACAACTTACCTTAGATGCACGGAAATAAGAGCAAAGCCAATTTCATTTATAATTTATTTTAAAAAACTATTAACAAGCATATCTGCATGTAAATGCATTGAAGCCACCCATATGAACTACGGCGTCTTCTGCAACCAAGAATGAAAAACAGAACCAGCAAGTGTTTTAAAGTTTTGCACATGCCAATGTTCAAAAACGAAAACAGAGCCTATAATATTTCACACAATAAACCAGCTATCTTGGCACTAAGTTAACTGATAGATTCATGCTCATTTATCCGTTGTACTTTCAAATTCAAAGGTTTAAAATTGAACTCTCTGAGTGCAGTTGTGCCATACTATAATTGCATCACGACATAAATTGTACTCGCGGCCGTATTTGACTACAATTTAAACAGTATCTTGTTTGTGATTTGAGTTTTCAGGTACCTTTGGTGAGAAGAACATGACCAACATTTATTAATGCAATAAAAATACCTCTCCAACTGCAGCAGAGGGTGTAGAATCAAAATATTCTTTCAACTTCTTAAACCAATTGGGGCTCCTCTCTGCAACATACCTGAAATTACACGAGAAGACATACGGTTATATTCAATCACTTTCATTTTTCTTAAATTACTAGTGGTGTTTACATGTCAATTTCAGTGTCATGTATGGTGTATGTGCTTCACAGGATATAAATTATTGATAAACGTTATCCGAACATCAATTTGAAACAACAAAACTTTGAATGGTTAATTGTTAGCAACCCAAGAGTTGGATTCCAAGGAAATAACAATTTCATTGAGAAATAGGAGAGAATCTCTCTTCAAAGGTTCCCCTTCACAATAGAGAATACTTCACAATTACAATATTCCAAGAATATTTTAACTTTTGTAGTGTTCTATTATTTAAACACATACTCCCTAACTAATCCAAATAACAAGTTGTGTGTGGTTGTTTATGAGGGGAAGGAAATTCATTTTGAGTATTCTGTAAAACTGATTCTGCCTAAAAGTGAGAAAAGTGAGGCGAAGGTAAAGCCATTTATGTTTAGATAAACTTTCGCAAAAGTGAGTTCAACGGTAAGTTTCATTGTAAAAAATAATGCTTAGTCTAAGTATATGTTTGGTTTCTCGGTTGAAGCACTTAAAATTGATTCTGAATGTGTAGAATTGATTTTGACATATTTGATTACTCTCAAGTAAAATTAATTATGATTTCTAGAATGAAGTCTACTCGAAGATAGAATTTGTAGTTTGAGTCTAAACGTGATTTTTACACTGAAATTTACTTTTCAATTCACGTTTGCAAGAATTTATCCAAATATAAATCACTTTACCTTCAATTCACTTTCGGCCCGAATCAATTTTACCGAATTAATTCACTCAAAAGTCAAAATCAATTTTTCACCGCAACCAAACACACTACAAATCTTATGTTCAAGTAAAATCAATTTTGGAAACCACATTCGATTCTACTCGAAAGCAACCAAACATGTTATAATTAATTCTACATCTCCATAATGTGAAACTAAACATATATCAACTTCTCTAACTACAACAAAAATAACTAACTTTCTCTAAGTTTTAACACAATACAAATACATGATTAAAACAATTAATCTTTGAATTATTAACAAAAATGGAGAAGAGAAGTGTGAAAAACGAACCAGGGATGAAGGCCAAAGGAAGGAAGAACAGAAGGATGAGTGATGGACAATTGCTTGACGGAAAGCCAATCCTGTTCGCAAACTCCGTTAACGGCGAAATTGACGACGCCGCTGTCTTGTGCTGCTTTTATCAGTTGTGGTGTCTTGCTTAAGATTCTTGGATCCTGAAGATGACAGTGTGCATCGAACACTTTCATCATCGCTCTTTGTTTTTACAAAATCAATTTCAATATATATATATATATATATATATATATATATATATATATATATATATATATATATATATATATATATATATATATATATAAGCAATCAAGGTCCAAGTCCAAAACGTAAAAGTCACATTTCGACTTTGACTCAACAACTATATATTATCTTTAACTCTATCGATTACAGTTGACTCTACAACTAACTCTTACTAGACTTTCTACTTCGATTGGGTCAGACACACCTCGGTCGAATACTGTTTTTTATAAAACAATGAATTACAACTTCTAACACTCCCCTTAATTCTTGTTTTCGAGACTTTTCATCTCGATGCTTCTTTTTCAACTCAACGAACCAGCCTTTCTTTAGGGGTTTGATGAGTATGTCGGTTAGTTGTCATTCTGTCTTGCAATACTCAAGTTCAAGCTTTCCTTTGTTAACTTGATTCCTCAGAAAATGATACCTCTTCTTTATGTGCTTACTTTAACCATGACACGCTAGATGATTTGTCAGGTCGATAGATAACTTGTCGACAAATAACTTCATAATCCTAAGTTCCATTAATTTGAGCTCTTCGAACTAAATCTCTACCAGCTTTACAAGATGACAATGCCACAATGCTTTGCTTTCTTAAAATCCATGAGATTGGGGCACCTACAATCATGAATATGTAGCCTACAATATTCTTACTATAACAAATAATGTTTTTCATGACAAGAAACCTTAAGGCTTTGTACAATTTACAACATATAACAGAATTTCTGCATACTCGATTATGTTGCTTATTGTTGAACTTGTTATTCCTCCATCCAATACGGTTAATGCATAATTTTTACCTTTTGGTGTTGCTTAGCTTGCTTGTGCTTCACTTGTTCTTATGATACCTGATTTTGCATACAAGAAAGCACAATTCTAAAACAGCAAAAATGGTTAGTAGCAAATGTAAAAGTGTAAGTGCTCTTGATTGGCTGCATTTTGTGGCAAAACACTAGAGCATGTATGTATGTCATGTTTGATATTAGTGCATACATAATATAGACTTTGCAGGGTAAGTTAACTTAGCTAAAAGCATGTTACACTGGATGTCATACCCAATGTTATGACATGGGTCGTATGACATCAAGCGCAGGTTTGCGCAGGTTTGTTTTTCTGGTAGCTATAAACCAGGAAACAGAATAGGAGCTCAAGCTGGATATCAGGAGACTTTCTAGAAGCCCTAGGCGAACTAAAAGATCCCTGAATTAAGTGGCAAGCATGCAGATCATTGAAAATAGGTTTGTTATGAATAAAACCTAATTTATGCACCAAGGCCCAAAAGGACTAACAACTGCTATAAATATCAGAAGATGCAATCCTGAACAGCATCTCTTGATAGAAGAATATAGAGTGCAAATTGCAGAGTCTGTGTAAGTGAAGAAGGCTAGTCTTCACGTGTGAATTCTGTCTAGGAATACTTGTACTCCAAGCAGTTGTCTGGTGGATGATTTGCATTGGATAGGTAGACTCTAGGTTGTGTCTCACTTAAAGCTGTGAAGCAAGAGTGTGTGAGTTCCTTGATCAAAGTTGTGAAGCAAGATCAAGGTGTGTATGAAGTGTCTCTTCATATTTAATCAGTAATTGTGAATTTTATATCACTGCGGTGATTAAGGGAGAGTGAGTGGGTATACTCAGGTCTAGAGTGTCTCTAGGCTGAATTGTCATTGGGTAGGTTTTAAGTGAGGAGTGCAAACTGTGTTGTTTGACTCTGAATTAATTCTGCTAATAGTGAAGTTCCTCCCTGGCTTGGTAGCCCCCAGATGTAAGTGTTGTTGACACTGAACTGGGTAAACAATTGTTGTGTTATTTACTGCTTTTATTATTCTTGATTATTATCTGTTAAGTACCAGATGTCATAGTGGGTGTTATAACTTTGGGAATAACATCCATCGTGTGCTTGCCAGAATTTTCAATTGGCATCAGAGCAGGCACCCTACCTGTTTAAATCTGGGTGAGATCTAGGGAAAACAAATTCTGGTACTATGGATAAAGATATAGGTTTCACTAATAGACCTCCAATTCTGGATGGATCTAATTATGATTATTGGAAACCAAGGATGATTGCATTCTTAAAATCCTTAGACAGCAAGGCTTGGAGAGCTGCAAACTCTGGCTGAAAACATCCTGTGAAAACTGACAAGGATGGAGTAGATGTTTTGATTCCTGAAGAGGAATGGAACAAAGAGCAAGAGGCCTTAGGTCTTGGGAACTCTAAAGCATTGAATGCTCTCTTCAATGGTATCGACAAAAACATATTTAGACTGATACACCACTGTGAACTAGCAAAGGATGTTTGGGACACTCTCAGAACTACTCATGAAGGAACTTCCAAGGTCAAAATGCCAAGACTTCAAATGCTGACCACCAAATTTGAAGGTCTGAGAATGAAGGAAGATGAAACCATTCATGAGTTTTACATGAATGTTCTTGAACTTGCAAACACCTCAGGAGCTCTGGGAGAAAAGATGACTGAAGAGAAGCTTGTAAGAAAGATTTTAAGGTCACTATCTAACAGGTTTGCTATGAAAGTAACAGCCATTGAAGAAGCCCAAGATATATGCAACATGAAGGTGGATGAACTTATAGGTTCTCTCCAAACATTTGAGATGGGCATGTGTGATCAGTCTGTGGAGAAAAAGAGAAAAAGTATAGCTTTGGTCTCAAACACTTCTGATTCAGATGAAGAAGATGGTGAAAAGGAAGAAAATTTGTCAGAAGCAATAGCTCTGCTTGGGAGACAATTTAGTAAATTGATCAAAAGAATAGATCAGAAGTTAAAGCCCTATGTCAAAAACAGCTCCTCTGACATCAACAAAGCTAAAGAAAAAGCTGGCCAAAGCAAAGGAGTCCAATGTCATGAGTTTGAAGGATATGGACATGTTAGGAGGGAATGTCCCACATACCTCAAAAAGAAGGGAAAAGGCCTAACTGTCACTTGGTCTAATGAAGACTCGGGAAGTGAATCAGAAGGAGAGTCTGCCAAGCATGTCACTACTTTCAACAGTGTGTGCATTTCTGATGATGATTCAAGTGATGAAGAGTTGTCATTTGGGGAGCTTGCAGCCTCATATAGAAAACTTCACGTCAGAAGTACATAACTGGTTCAGCAAGGAGAGCAACAGAAGAAAATCATCAAGGAGTTAGAAGCTGAAAAGAGAGAGCATCTAGCCACAATAGACACACTCAGAAGTAAAGTGAAGGAGCTGAAAAGTAAGAAGGATCAAATGGCAAAATCCATAAGGATGCTCAATTTTGGGACTGACACCCTAGAGGAAAATCTTCAAAGTGGACAAACCTCAGGAGATAGGTCTGGACTAGGATTTGTTGATAAACAAAGTCCTGTGCTAAAACTCAAGAGATTATAACCTGAGTTCCAGAAGCCAAAGAGGATGTCACGACTAATGTCACAACATCCAACTGACAGAAACTGGAATCAAGTCAAAAGTAGATTCCAAGGGTATAGATGTTACCACTGTGGAAAACTTAGTCATATCAAATCTGTGTGTTTCTGGCTGCATGGATTTCCTAGTCATCCTCATCAAGAACAGAGAGCTCATGTCAAAAGGCAGCATCAAACAAGAACTAAGAAGGGTGCTCCTAACAGGCAAAGACATTGGGTTACCAAGAATATGGCCTTAGCAGCTCACACTGCTCTAAGGATGCCAACCCAAGAGGATTGGTACTTTGACAATGGTTGCTCCAGACATATGACTGGAATTGAGGATCACTTGAAAAAACTCAACCCTCATACATCCAGTCATGTAACCTTTGGTGATGGAGCTAGAGGAAAAATCACAGGTGTTGGACATCTTGACAGTCTTAAAGCCCCAAAATTGAAGGATGTATTGCTGGTTAAAAGACTGACTGTTAACCTAATAAGCATAAGTCAGCTATGTGACCAAGGTTTAAAAGTCCACTTTTTAAAGGATAATTGTGTGGTTGTCAATAAAGAATGTGAGGAAGAAATGAGGGGATATAGAGCAATGAATAATTGCTACCTATGGGAGCCCAGAAGTATCCTCAATAACCTGGATAAAAAGGAAACTAAGGACAACTTATGGCTGGTGAAAGACAGACAAAACAGAAGGTCTAACACATCAGCAAGAGGATCTTCAAAGTGTGCTTCAGAGAGAAGGACAAGATGTAAGAAAAGTCATGTAGGGAAGCAAGCCAAGAAGGGATACTCAAATATTGGTCATCAGGGAAATCTAGATAAGCTATACTAGAACCTGATGGAGTCCATGAATGCTACCCTGCCTAAAGGAACCAATGTTACTCCGGATGTCATGACCTTGTTCTGTAACATCCAACGCACCATTCAACCAAGTCCTGGTGAGTTCAAGGGAGGCATGCTCAGGAGTCACTCGTGCAAATGGCAAGGGATTTGTGCAATACCTGATGAGTATGCAACAAATAGGGCTGAAATTGGTTCAGGAAGTGTCAAGGACCATAAAAATGATCTTCAAAAACTAAGGCCCTTGAGTAATGGTGAGTTGTAGCAATTAATAGGAATAGGGAATTATAATTTAAAATTCAATCATTTACTGATTGGTCAAAACATTAAGTTCCCTCCTCATTTGCCATATCATCTATTGAGCCTCTACACATCAAACTCCTACACCACTTGGTTCACGATCAAACTGTTCATCTTCCCTACAGCCTCCAACGAAAGAAAACTCCTCCGTTCTCAATCAACATCTCCAATGATGTCACAACCATCAAAATCATCCCCATCCAAATGCATGTCCAACAAAGCTGAGGAGTCAAACCCTAACGAGGTTCTAGAAGTAGTTCCATTGCGCATGGTGACACCAGACGAATTATTGATGAATAAACCTAGCAAACCCTATGCAAGAAGGCCAAATGACCGGGTCACAGGTCAAGCTCTTTCTTCTACTGCATCTGATGATCTCAACAACACAAAAGTTAGACGAACCCATCTTGCCATTGCGAA